GGTCGAAGGTCAAGCAAAAAAAAAAATGACACAAGCAAACATTTGACAAAGTGAAGTGATGTCACACATAGGATCAGCGTTTCATTACATTACTTTAAATTAAATTACATTCAAATACATTGCTTTACTTTACCTTGAGTTACATTACATTACTTTACATTGAGTTACATATCATGACACTGTTACATGACAACATGTTTGTGTGGTACTGACGTCAGATGTGTGTCTGTGTGTGTCAGAGTGTGAGTGTAATGGACACTCCAACCGCTGCAGCTACATCGACTTCATCAACGTCATCACATGTGTGAGCTGCAAACACAACACTCGAGGACAGAACTGTCAGTACTGTCGCCTTGGTTACTATAAAAACACCTCCCTGTCGCTAGAGGACGAGAACGTCTGTGTGGGTTAGTCATGTGCACACACACACACACATGCACGGTAAACACAAAAAACAGGTGCGCACATCATTACATTTGAAAAAGTATCGCTACTGCTACTGTTACTACTAATGACAACAACATCAATATTGTATCATCATTAACAATGATAATAATGATAACTGATAATAATATTGTCTGTGTCTGTGTCAGAGTGTGACTGTGATGAAGAGGGAAGTATTTCTCCACACTGCTCTGACTCTGGTCTCTGTCAGTGTAAAGACGGAGCCACAGGGAGGCGCTGTGACTCCTGTTTACCTGGATACACCTGGAGAGGAGGTGGAGCCAGCTGCTCAGGTACAAACAGTGAAGGGGTTGAGCTTCAGTTAAAAGCCAAACAGTAGGTTCCGGTCGAGATGGACTTGGTCTGACTGTGTCTGACTTGATCTGCCGACGTGATCTACCTGCGGCTGCAGGGGGCAAAAATAAAAAATACAGATGTCAAGTCAGACACCCTATTTTTCTCATAGCGTCAGAGACGGGAATAACAAACGATCTCACAGAGATTGATTTATTCTTTACAGATAAAACAGATTACATTGCATTAGATATCATCTAGTTGACGCTTTTGTCCGATACGTCAGCGACTGACAATAAGTGCATGAACCATAAGGGTACAGACCCAGAACAAGAATCAAGTAAGTAAGAATCAAGCCAAACTACAAAGTGCTACATGTAAGTGCAACTAAACTGACAATTTTTTTACCCAAGGTGTAGTCCGAAGAGATGTCTTTAGTCTGTGGTGGAAGATGTGTACACTTTCTGTCCTTGTGTCAATGTGGAGCTTGTTCCACCATTTAGGAGCCAGGACAGCAAATAGTCATGATTTAGTTGAGTGGTTAGCTCGCAGTGAGAGAGCAGCTGTTTGGCCGATGCAAAGCGGAGTGGACGGGCTGGGGTGTAAGATTTGACCATGTCCTGGATGTAGACTGGACCAGATCTGTTCAGGGCACGGTACACAAGTACTAGTGTTTTGAAACGGATGTGGGCAGCCACTGGTAACCAGTGACGGGAGCGTAAGTGATTTAAATTAAAGACATTCTGCATTCTGGATGAGCTGCGGAGGTCCAATGGCACTAGCAGACCGGATAGACAGAAAGACTTTCCCTGGAAGGAAAAGTAGTTGCTGTGTGGACATCCACTGAGAGATGTCAGTCAGACAGGCAGAGATTCGTACTGCTACCTGTGTTTCAGATTGGGGGGAAAAAAGGATCACTTGGGTGTAATCTGTGCAGCTGTGGTAGGAAAAGCCATGTGTGTACAGATGTTTTTAAAATCTTTGTGTTTTATGAAAAAGAACGATGAAGAATGACTGAGCACTTAGTTTCAGTTGAAAATGAACCCATATTGGAAAGTGACCATGAGTAAATGCAGACTGTCAGGAGATGATCACATCATCTCTGGAGAGAAATAAACACAGAGAACTTTTTTCTTCTTTATTAATCAGCACTTTAGATATATTAAATAAGACACACGTGAAATAATAAAAAAGACAGATACACTGCCAGTGGTTATATATTAAGTGAATATTTATATATTCACACAATCATATATATAATCAAATATAATGTATACAATTTTAATTACGAGCTAAGAGGTGGAAAATGTTCCTGTGATATCTTTAGGTGCAAAAAGAGGTACACTGTACATTTATGGATATACACGGAGCAGAACATGCATCTGAATTTTCAGAATAAAAACAAGACATCAATCAGAGTAGAGTTGTGTCAACACAGAGAGATCCACTGCACAGTCTGACTGCAGTTGGCTACTTCTGGGCAAGATGGCGGACTGAGCGGTCACATGACAGATGTGCTCTTGTGAAAATACCTCTAAAATGACCTTTGATATTTTGAGAACTTTTCATAGTGAAAATAACAATGAAATGTCTCATCAAGAACTGTCTTCACTGAGTGAGTGAGACCTGATGGACATTAGCAGTGTGGAGGAAATTTGACTTTGCAAGACTTCTTACATAAAGAGAACTGACCATAATGGTCTTTTAAGTGCACGTTTATTGTTTGGCAAAGAACGTCACATCTTACAGCATGCGGACATGTGAAAATGGGTAAGATGAAAAAACATTTTCGGGCATGCTCTTTTATACAGAAAGAGGTGTTGTATGTGCGTAAGAAGCAGATGTGTGTGTGAGTGTAAAGATAAAATGTGTGTGTAAGAATGGAATATGAAGTAAACCCCCTGAAGATAAGATTAGAGGAGACAGCACAGTGATTCCCAATGGCTCTGATGTCTGGATCTCTCAGAGACCAGCACCTTGTGAATCTAGTAGATAAAGGTCATGATAAATCTGCCATGAGGCAGGTCACCAACGGACATGTCACACATGGCACGGTCATGTTGTCACACATGATATGCATAAGCAGAGATAATACATAGTTTAGTATGATTATATAATTTTCCATTACAGCAGTTAAAAACAAACTTTGGAGGAAACAAGGGAGTCTCTGCTGTGCACTCAATCCAAGGTGCTCCCACCTGAAAAAAACTTTGTGAGGCCAAATGTAAATGAAGTATAAAACTCCACCATACTTGCAGTGATTCACTCGCTAACAACAACATTTGATACTCAAGATAAGAATTAGAAGAACGCAGCTGAAGCAAAACAGTGCTAGGATTGCTAGCTTGACCAAAACATCTGAGTTTAATGCTGCGAAGGTAAAAGACTGCAAACTAAGAGTCTCAGTGAGGAGACATCTGCCTCCACCGGGGGAGGAGAGAGACATGGAGAGGAGAGAGGGGGGGAGAAGAGAGAGATAGTGGGGAGGAGGAGAGAGAGAGATAGTGAGGAGGAGAGGGAGGGGGAGAGAGAGGAGAGAGAGGGGGGGAAGAGGGGAGAGAAGAGAGAGAGATAGTGGGGTGGAGAGGGAGGGGGAGAGAGAGGAGAGAGAGGGGGGGAAGAGGGGAGAGAAGAGAGAGAGATAGTGGGGAGGAGGAGAGAGAGAGAGATAGTGGGGAGGGGGAGACAGACAGAATGTTAAGTGTTAAGACTAGCGTGCATCGCACCTCATCAAGACAAACGCACCTTGAGTTTACTTTCCTGTAAAGTCACACAGTGAAATTTTAATGCAAAAATGATCAATAATCAAATAATTAATGAAACACTTCCTGTCTCCTTAGTTAACATTTGCGACGCAGAGCGTTTGATTTGTAAAAATGGAGGAACCTGCGTCGACTTCCAGCGTTGCATCTGTCCGGAGAACTTTACAGGTAAACACACACCTGGTGTGGGCGGGGTCTTGTGATTTCACGGCTCAGATGTTATGGGCGGGATCTGATGATGTCATCACATGTGCAGGTTCACTCTGTGAGCAGAGCATCTGTCGGAAGAAGACTGGTTGCCTTGACAACGCTGAGGGATCCTCCTTCTCTCTGACTTCACACCATTACCTGCTGGTCCTGAGTCTGCTCATGTCTGCATTCTGATGCCCACGCCCACTGATGTCACAATATTATTTTTTTTTTATTTTTTTTACTGAACCTGTGGAAACAGGATATGACATGATAGTCTTATGATGTCATCGTCATGGGCTGTGTCCGAAATCCCCCAGTACTTCACGATATGTCTTCTGTGTAGTGGACTATATACTATATATACTGACCTCATCACTATATAATGTATTCTGTGTAGAGGATGTGGTGGCAATTTCTGTGAAACAAGCACAAAGCACAAGTCCAAGTTTAATTCAGCATCTGCAGATGGACTCATTAGTACACATCACCTGAATGACATGCACAAATGAGCAAAGAACAAAGGAGAATCTGTGTTCTTATAACTCACTCCCACTAAGCATGAAAAGGTTTTTATTACCCTCTTATACTTTCACTCAGTGGAGGAGACGTCCTGTCCTTTTGTTTACATGTTCTGTGGATGACCCCCCTGTGAGAACCCTGGTGTTAGATCCCAATCAGAGATACCAAGAGATGAGGTTTCTCAAGGCCATAAAACTCAAGTCTCTTAAGCCACCATCGTAAACCTTAAGGTTGCCCTTTTAGATTAACAATTTGCTCAGTCCCCCACATAAATGTCTGCTCATGCAATTATACATACACAAATGTCAAATTTCCATTACAAGGACTATATACTATATATACCGAGCTCATCACTATATAATGTCTTCTGTGTAGAGGACTATATACTATATATACTGAGCTCATCAGTAAATTAAAAAACACTTTCAGACATTTTCTCTGCATCGGTTCATTGTCACAGGATCATGACAAACAACAACAACAACAACAACAACAACAACGGTCCCTGTGAAATCCCACAGTGAATTTTAAATGTTTATTTTACTCTTAGTATTAAAACTTTTAGTTAAAAACACGTTGAATGTTCATCTTTAAATGTAGAAATAAACATGTTTGTCTAATTTTGTGATGCTCTGCTCATATTTATACGTTAACTAACTAACTCTTCACCCTCACACAGTCCAGTGTCTGATGAGGACCAGACTAAATGTCCTCACAGTGACGGTATTGAAACACAATTGACTTCAGAACTATAGAAAAACACACACTCGTCTCGACGTCACACGACACTTTCCATGTTGTCTCGTGACGTCATCAAAGCGCGTCAGCAGCAGCTGCTGATCCAACATGCTGTCGTGGTGTCGGACCGGAGCGACCTTGGTGTTCGGAGCGGGGGTCGGAGCCGCGGTCAGCCGCCTGCTGAGCTTCAGAGGCGGCGAGGAGGAGGAGGATCGAGCCGGTGTCCTCCACAGAGTCCCGGTACTTCCGGTACCGAGAGTCCTGGCCTCCGAGCTGACGGTGAGACAGACAGAGACAGACAGACTAACTGATAGAAAGACAGACAGACAAACGTATTGAGAGACAGACAGACAGTAAGAGACAGACAATAGGAGACAGAAAGACAAACGTATTGAGAGACAGACAGACAGTAAGAGACA